TACCATATCAATGGTTGCCGCTTAGGCAAATTAGACCGTGATAACAAAGTGAGGAGCTTCCTTTAGGCAGACCCAATGCTTCCCCTTTAAGTCCAACCTGCATTCATAGAGAATACTATGAGAGGGAGGAAAGCCGGATAACTGCAATTACGTTATACTTGTAATCCTATGAAAGAAAATTACATCTCACGCCATCATTCTCTATCAATTAGAATCAATAATGGAGAATTTTGCTTTCTTATTTACAAAGCCTGTATCATTTGCAGGAGAAAATAGTTGTGAAATTTAAATATGGTAGTTTTCCATATGGGATGTAGTCACAAATTTCTCGTTAATGATACCACTTCTTAACTGTATATCAACTTATTGTAAAACCAACTTGACCTGGTACGTCCATTGCTTTGACGAGAGGTCAATAGTAGAGTTGTTTTTTGAGCCTTTGAGCTGCACTGGACCGGTGATCCCAGCACCCGATAAATCATAGAATGCGCCATAATTCTGCAGACAGTAATAGGATTGCATTACACATAATAGATATACTTGGTGACATTCTGATGGCCAAAACTTGTTCAGCAATACATAACAAATTACTCATGTTGAAAGTTTGAAACAGCCGTCCAACACTTTCCAAGAAAAAGAAACAATCAAGCAAAGAATATAATGAAGATCAAGAAAGACGAACCTGAAGTCCCACAGTCAAACTTAAGAGATCGATTCTGTTTTTTCCAGGTATGAGTGTGACAGGAACCTCAATGGTAACCTTGGGATTGTTGTAACTGCCTTTTCCACTCCCTACAAAGTATACAAGGATTAGCTTTTTAGTGACAGCAATGAATATATAGTAAGGTGCCATCATAAATTCATATATTTTGTTGTTCCATTCCCCACTAAGAAACCAAACTCCAGATTGGATTATCCTATAAATTACAACATTTTTACCAATATAAGCAAAAGCTAATACCTAAATTTATCATGTTTTGGCCGCAATTCATGCACCCGGTGTCCTTGCATAAACCATGCTTTATTTTCCTATAACACATCTAAACATCTCAAGGGATTAAAGAGCAAATTTAAGAAAGTAAAGGAATCAAAGTTCCAACTAGAATTGGTGATTGTGCCTCTAATAGTATTTAAAAACTTATTTTGTTTTTATTTTTCTCCTGTTAATAACTGCAATCAGCAGTTGATGACTCCTAATAACGAGATGAGTATTGATGACTAGAGTCAGATTTTCCATTTGACAGTATCTTTCTTGGTTTCAATATTAAAATAATTTTTCAGTGGTGTTACTTTCATAGTAAAGAGTGTAGGAGAGACACAGGGAAGTGCTCGGAAAAGAGACGAAAAAAAGGAACATTTAGAGCAGCAGATTAAACAGAAAGGAAATGTATTCTAGAAAGAGAATAGCGACATCCCAGAAAATAATTCCCTTGCAACATCATTTATATCCATCATCACCTGCAAGCTTCCCATTAATAAATCCGTAAATGGCATGGCCAAGTGATTCCACATGAAGAACTGTTTGAGATCCACCTTGAAGGAAAGGCTCATCACCTGTAATGTCAGTGCTGCCACAACACACAAGTTAACAGGAAAACCTTTCGAATATTGAAAACATAAGAAGGGAGAAAGAGGAGAAATTGATGTACTATTGATACCTAAGTGAATACCACAGATAGTCACTTATATCGGCTGTAGTATTTATTTGCTCCAACAATCCAAGTTTATTGAATGCACTGTTACTGGAGATACCCACTGGTTCATTAACCCAACTCCAATCATCCGGGAATGCTTCAGAGCTGATGCCATCTTTCAAAGATAGAGTGGAGAATCGTGGAATCGTCGTCATGGAATTTATCTGTCGAAGGAAAGTTACAGAATAGTTTATGTTACAATCCACATGTAGGAAAAAGATAAGATTTTTTGAAGTTTTTTTATTGAAATAGAAAAACAGTTCAATTTAGCATCATCCCAAAAGAAATTAAGAACAACATATATGCAACAACCGGGAATGCTTCAGAAATCAATATAATGCTAGTCATAAACTTGGAATCCATGTGTTCCACCACAAAAACATATCAGAGCCTGATGAGAAACATAGCAGATACAGAGAAGCTGCCAAGGAAATCAGGGAGTTTATTTATATTTTGTAACTAGGGTAAATGAGGTCAGAGCGGGTCAGACGAAGTAACTCTCAACATGGTTTACCAAGTTTATTTCTTTAGTCTTCACTAATGTAAAGTAGTCTCTTCTTGCATCAAACGTGTAGAATTTGAATTTATGGTATTAGGATTACATTTTGGCCAGCCCAGTCTATTCCATCCACTCAATGATAGACACGCCCAATCAACAAGTTTAAGCTGAACAAGCCTGAGTTTGATAAGTGAGCTGACATAAGCTGAGTAAATAATGATCATGTTCATAGCAACATATATTGGTCATTGCCCAGTTTGGTGGCATTATTCAGGCAATTATGATTTGAACCAGAGAAATGAACAACTAAACCATTTCAGATCCATGCATTTATCGTGACTGGGAGTTTATAACTATTAATGTTTATGCATGAAACTAAGGAAAAAGGATATAATATAAGGTTTATTTAAATTGCATTATCATCATAACCATGTATGCAGTCGGAAATTTGCAAATGACTATGATTGCATGAACACAAAAGATCTGAGATATCTAGAACAACATTTTACTCGCATATGTACCACAGGATCCAATATTCCATTTCAGTCTAATGAAGAGAAACCCTGGGCTGACCTAGAGCATTCTCATGAGATATTGAACACAGGATCCAACATGGAAAACTTTGCAATGGCTAAAGAGGATAGCAAATTAATAGATATAAATCAAGCATGGTAACTTATTTTGGTAGGATGTGGGACTAGCAATGTTATCTGATGCACAAATTTGTATGTGAGTATCAAGGAATTATCAGTAGTTATGAGACCAGAAGCTAAGTAAGCTGACATCATGAAGGTGACGTCTGATATCAAAGAATATGACTTCTTACACTAGAAAAGTTGAAGGTGCTGAGATCCAGTTCCCATCTGATATAGTCAGAGTAAGTGCAAGTGCCAGTACCACCTCATAGAAACTCTTAGAAACACAAGACTTTCCCCCACCACCTTTAAGAAGATTGTTTCTTTACCACATAAGGTCCCCAAAAAGAACCTCAAAAACATGTTCTGGTGCCGTTTATTATGAAGTGGGAGTTATGTCGGCAGTCAATGTAACAAATTGAATTCCATTACCCTCCTCCTCCAAAAGCTTATACTTTTAGAGAGCTGGTAAGTAAAATGTCACTGGAGAAGAAAGGTGACAGGGTAGTTGATTATCTTGTTGCCCTTGTTTTTAGTAGCTTGAGCTTTTAGAGCAGTTAGTTGCTATTACCACTAATCTCTAAGATCTACAGAAAGACATCCCATTGTGAATGGCCCTTGTCTGTAGTAGCTTGAGCTTTTAGAGCAGCCAGTTAATAATATCTACAGAAAGACATCCTAATATGAATGGGGATGGATCTAGAAATTGGGCCCTGCGGGGGCAAATTGTTAGAACAAAACTTGGAGTAAACTCTTGATTGTGTAGTTTAATTAGCCAAAAAACACCATGTAACACTAATGGAATTTCCAAACCATAGGAGAAGTAGCTCCCTTCCGGTCCCGTAGATCCATCATCGATAATGAACAATCTTAACATTCTTGTTTTTAATGAAAAGGCAAACTAACTTACAATAACGATGCTGTAAGTTACTAAAAAGAAGTATATGATATAGAAGGGTCTGCACACAAAGTCCTAGCACAGTAGCATTGTGAAGCGAAAATATAGCTCAACTACAACAGAGACAACACAGGCCGATGAGGCAAACCTTTGCAGTATTAAGCACTACGTTCTTGCAGTCAGGTAAGATGCTCACAGACCATGCAGGCAAGCGATATGAATTGCCGCTAAAATTCACAGTTGCATCCGATTGGGTACCAAAGTTGGCAAGAAAAGCAGAGCATAACCCTGATCCAGTTTTGTAAACACCGGCCTGAAACAGACAAGAATCCATGCTCAGCACAATCATGATAGTACAGTGAATACTCACATGCATTAGTAGGGAAAGAAATAAACTACGCCTCACTTCCCGGTGATTTAATTATCATTCAGGAAATGTTGAGAAGCATGACAAAATGCAATTTCAAGCACATTTATTTGAAAACCAAAATACTACATAAGCAGAGGCCAGAGGGTGCAACTTGTTACTCATGGAATGTTGGGACGGGTAGTGTGATCGTGCAGTGAAGGCAAAACCCCAGGTAAATTTATCATACAAATCGAGATCATAGATGAACAAGCACATTCAATGGTCAAAACAAATTAAAACTTCAAAGTTCCAAGAAGGGCTTATGAAAGGAGGAAGAATGTGAATATGATATCAGGTGAGATATGCCAGGAAGTTGCCTATTCCAGTCTTTATTAGTGGTTTATGCACAACCAAAGATATTTATACAGAACCAGCGCAAGTATAGTTTTCTTAGTTGTTGAGCTGTCTACAAGTTAACTGCCAGTGTTTATAGAAAAGTGCATATGCATTAGTCAATCAATTATAATGAGTAGTATCTGAGGTAGGACTTATGTGCAGTTTATGCATGGGCGCATTCAAGTTATAAAAGCAAAAGGCTGGCAGTTGCAATCTCCTAGAGAAAAATCCATCTCAACAACCCTAAATATACATTAACATGGAATCGAGGTGACGCTTTCTAACAAGATAATGAATTGGCTACTGCTTCTTTGTCAAGAAGAAGAAATTAGCATCCCTGTTCCTTTGGTATTTGATCAAATAAAATATAATTCCAGTATACCTCTAAATTTGAGCCTAAAGAAGTTATTGTTGGATCAGTTGCTAACATTGCCTCTTCACAAAGCTTTATGGCCTTATGAACATCTTTTAGGTGGCCCCACTTCGGTTGTCTAAGAAGTCCTGCAACACAAGAAAAATGTCAAATCCTTTCAAATATACAACGCTTAATACCGATATAAAGACTTCTCTTTATTGATTAATATTACAGGGGATGGTAATCATTGGTTTATGCAACTTGAGTGAAAATTAATGACTGGGAGTTGCATCTGTGTATCAATTTTTTTTTTCTTTTATGTTTTTTTTGGGGGAGGGGGATGGGGAGGGGGGTTTGGACCCTTGACTTTAAGAAGACAACTCCTTCATAAGGCAAGGAGTATCATTGAACCAAAGGGCCATTGGTTGCATCTGTGTATCATAGATATGAATTTTAAAGCTTCAAGAAGTGAAAAAAGTCAAGTAAGGGGTAGATGGACAAAGCATACCATACTCATCAATTGGAGCATCATAATCATAGCTTGTGGAAATGAAAGGTCCACCACTAGTCCGGTCAAAGTTAGTTCCACCATGGTACTGCTAAAAGGCAACCAAAACATATCCAATATATGACTTACACATTCTTGTCAGTTCAGAGTATATTAACAAGTGAAAAAGTAAGGAACTGGTAAGACAAACAAAACTGAACAGATACAGGACCATATAGTAATTCTGAAAGGTTCCCCCTCGCTGGAAAAAACGTGCTACAGCAAAAGCAATGTCTTCCACAGGTCTATAGGGGACAGCACCCCCAAATGCAAGGAACCTAATATTCCATGTAGTGGGAAGGGTTACAAATATTGAAGCAGTCAGGATAAAAAAGCAAATACATACAATCAAAACAATTAAAACATCTTGAGGGAATAAGTAGCCAAATACTTTACCATCCCGTCCAATTCTCAGTCCACATTTTTGGTTTCTTATCAGAATTTGGGGTGAATTGGTCGCAGTAAAACCCATTGCAAGTGTTAATCTACAGTAGTTTAAAAGCAGAAAATGTAACTTAATTCACCAAAGATTATGAAGCATCAAAGTTAGGTTTTGTTGTTAACTACCATACTCACAGGAAGCATAAACTCACCAATGGATCAGGAGCATCTGCTTGCTGGCACATCACCCAGGGCACCCCTGTATCCAAAGAAGTTGCCATGGTTGCTGCCCACTTGATATAAGTTTTGCCAGCTGGCCCATATGCTGAATCAATGTTCCCATACTCGTTCTCAATCTGGCATTCCAAATTAACTAGTAACCTCCCATTACACTCATCCATGACAAGAAAATGATGGTATAGAACAACTAATACAAAATCTTGTTCTACCAGTTGATTACCATGAACCCTTAAAGAACACAAGAAATAAACCTGAGATAAGATAATGGGTCCGCCTTGGGATGCATAGAGATTTTCTTGCTTCATCATGTCCACAATCTTGGCCGTGAATCGTTTCATTTCTGCCTAAAAGTGAAACAGAAAGCTAAATTACAAATATGGAACCAGCAACTTATAAATTTAAATCCATAAATGAGTAAGAAGGAAGTACCTTGAATGGCTCATTATCAGTTCGAAACTTAATTCCGGACACAAAATGCAACCAAAGAGGAAATCCTCTGTTCAAAAATAAGAATTAAAACATACTAAGCTACACAAAAGATAGAATGAGGTAACATTTAAATCCTTCATTTCTATAAAATTTAAGAATAAATTTATGGTAAAAGCATATAAATTTACCCATAGTTCCACTCAGCACAGACGTAAGGACCAATCCGCAGATGAACGTAAAGACCAGCTTCAGCCACCAGTTTCACAAATTTAACCAAATCATTTCTGCCTTCAAAATCATACTGCAGAATATATTGGCATATCAGGAGTGAGTTAGTGATATTCTATCCTTGACTTCAATTCGTATAATTAACTTCAAGATTGGTAAGCTGTAGAAAACAGAGCAATAATTAAATTATTGCTCCGTTTGGATTGCTAAGAAAAGAAAGAGCAATCAATTCAACATAGCTGAAATTGCAAATACAGACGATCAATTCAATTAATGCTCCATTTAATTTTTGAGAAAACCAATTGGCATTTGAAACGTAGATAGTCACTTAATTTACTTGTTTTGGGGTGGTTAAAGTACTTGATATTTGGCGTAGTTTCAGTACCAAGTTCTTGATAGTTTTGGAAACTCCAAAATCAAGGAACACAAAAATAAGAACTACATTTCTTTCCATTTTCTCAGCAACCAAACAAGGCTGGATAACATTGAAATTAAGAGTAAATTTAGAAACATGAAGCGGAAACCTGGTTTCGAGCTGGTTCATGCAAGTTCCAGAAAACGTAAGTCTCGATTACATCCAAACCTCCGTCTTTCGATTTCTGAATAAGGTCCGGCCACATCTGCACCAATACACACTCACAAAAGAACAGTTAGAGAGAAAGTGAATGCATACAACTCTGAGAGAGAGAGAGAGAGAGAGAGAGAGTTTTCCAGTCCTACGTCGGGAGTGCTGCGAGGATAGTGAATAGAGCCGGAAATCAAGAGTTTCCGCTGGCCGTCGATAACCAACGCCCGATGATCGTACGTCACATTGGCGGGAAACGACGTCGTAGCAAGAACTCCAACCACCAAAACCAAAACAATCAGAATTTCAGTTTCTCTCATGTTCGCAACAGCTTCCAGCTCCCTCCTTTGAACTCTTGTTTTTTGCTTTAAGGACAGTGTTTTTATAAAACACTTTCTTGAAACATTCCCATCGCTGTTGCTTCGGCTTGTTTTGATGCTTTTTTTGTTTTCTGATTGTTGCTTACCCGCTTTGTAAAAACAGATTATGAAGGAAGGGAATCAAAATGTAGGACAGAGAGGAAAGCTATCCCACGCCGGAGACGACACGCCACCTCTTGCCTAGTTGGTTACGTGGTATCGCCGTCGTTTTCTTCCACTTCTTCTGGTATTAATGGAGGGAGTTCGTTCTTATTCATTAACTCTGTGCTCGTCCCTTTCGTTTGGAAGATAGTGAGTTTGTTGATGTCGATATTGGGAGGGAGAGAGAGTGTAGAGACACGAGTGTAGAGACAGGTGTGGTGTTGGTTTACTCGTGCCGCGTATTAATGGGATCACAAAAACTGCACTTCTCCGAGGTTTTTAACTACAATTCTTTTTTTTTTAATGAAAAATCATATATAACTCAAATTTATAATTCAAATTTGCATCAGAAATTAAGAGACCATTAGATGAGTGAAACTTATCAATTTTTAAAATGAAACTCACTGATCTAATAGTCCTTCTTCATTTGAGATGCAAATTTGAATTACAAATTTTAGTTATGCTCATTTTTATATGAGATCGACATAATACATTTGATGGTTCAAAAATTATACCAAACTAAATTTATGGTGGTTCCAATTAAATAAAATCGATCATGACTAACCCATTTTTTTTTTTGAATCTCGAGGTAAAACTACCATCTCTAAATTTGGGGTGAGCTTACAATATTTTGCGGCGAGTTTACAACTCTTTAATTAATATTATTACATTTATAGGCAAAGATATTACATTTAGTGAATAATATTTAATAAAAAAAATTGACAACCACACATTTGAGTAATATTTAATAAAAAAAATTGACAATCCCATATTTTTAGTGGTACGGTACGGCTTCCCCACCTCCACACACAATAATGTATTGTTTATCCTATCAAAAATAGTACAGACATTCTCATCACATAGCAATTCTCCATGATAGCAGTTCTGTCGAGGATTGTGCAACCTACAAAAATAGAAAAAAAATATTAGAGGTAAGGATAATACTATATGATATTGATGATACATATTATATTTACAATTTTATAATTATTTGATGATATTATGTGATAATAATAATATTATTTTTCTGTTATACTCAATATTTATTCTAAAAATACCTATAGAAGACTATGGTACGGGTTGGTATCTTATCAAAATTTATAATTTTTTTAAAATTAAGTTATATTTTTTTGAGTTAAAAGTTACAATTGAAAAAATAATGAAATTTATAACTTTTTAAGATTAATTTGTATTTTTTAAAGGTAAAATTATAACTAATTAGTGGTATTCATTATTGATCATGAAGTTATTTCAAACAATTGTAATTCACGTTTAAAATTTGTAACTTAGTTCTCAGGAAATAAAAACTTTTACTGATTTGTTTTTTTTTTTTTGGGTATAATAGAATTACCCAAATACCCATGTCTTTAGACTTGATTTTTTTGTTTTGAATGAATTGAGTCCCCTCGTCTTAATGAATGGCAATGAGGAAGGGGCGTTTATTCCTGGGTTCTTGTCTTGATAGGCGAATTTTAGAGTTTAGCCTATCACTATCTAGTGCTTCCCCGTGAACTTTAATCATGATGACTTTGAGTATTACGAGAGTTCAAACAGTCCATGATTTTTCCACTAACGTGCGTGTTCACACGGACAAATTATTTACTGGAGACGAAGATAGATGGATTCAACTAGATTAAATTATGACTGAAAACAGTACATATTATCATTTAGAAACGTTTAAAATTGTTCAATTTCAATTTTTATAAATTAATCTTAATTAATCATGATTTAATTCAAATAGTTTTTGATATTTGATATGATACCGTTTACATCAAAATAAGTAAAATATGAGAAAAGAGGTAGATTATAATCAAACCAACTAGAAAGTCGGAGACATTCTTAGGCGATTAAAGGTATTGTCTATAAATACGAAGGGAATGAATCAGAAAAGAAATCTCAGCTTTAACAATTCAGGCAAACATGAACGAGTAAATTTTATGATTTCACGCCAATCTAAATAGATAAAATTATAGTATTTAGAGTTACAAAACATAATCAATCTTTAACAAACTCACAATTAAAAAAATACGACAAATAAATACTTGAAAAGTACTAGAGGGTGGGTGAAGCACTCAAGAGAATGTCGGTGTGGACATAATCGTGAAGCATTTTGGTAGTGCATAAGCTTACTAATTCCACTATTACCCACTCCCCATTGCCTGCCTGCCTGCCAAAAAGGATCTACTAAGGTGATACCAAAATCTTATAACATATAAATATTAGATTATTCTTCATAATAATTTGTCCTATGATTGAACACTAATGTTAAAAAAAAATGGATATGATTATGGTGTAGCCATCAAGTCCAAGGCCGTGGTGGTCGTCGCGTCCAACGTGTCGTGGGGTAAGGTAATTGTCGGTGCCATTTGCTGTCATTTTCCAATCTCAATTATTTTTGGTGGTGGTGGTGGTAAGTTGGTGTGAAATGTAGTTTGCATGACTGGCGGTCATTAACTTGTGAAATCAATCCCATGACCTAAAATTGCAAATTTTCAAATGGACCCTCTTTTTTTTTTTGTTTGTTATGGTGTAGTTTCATCATTCAAATCATGGGCTTTCGTGAAAGTCCATGTGCATGAGTCGGCAAAGTTTTGGCGGTAATGTATCAAAAATTATAATTTTTTAAAATTTTATAACCTATAAATGATATGATCAATTATAAAAATTATTATTTTTAAAAGTTAATTTATATTTATAAAAAAATAAATTTTTATAATTTCACCCAAATTATTACCGACGATTTTCTTGTGAAAGTGAGTCATGTCAGTAAAGTATAGAGACTGAAGAGGAAGAACATGCATTATTGACTTGTACTGCATGAGAGTTGTCCTCCTCTTTTGGGGCGGTGGGTCAAAGAAATAAAGTGTGATGAAAAAACCTACCCACCCAAAAATTATGCCCTCCAGGCAGAAGATTTCATATCCGACTTAAATGCAATTCCAGTCACCTACCTCTTTGATGGCTCTATGTCATAATAACTCTCTGGAGCCAGGACTTCCAGAAGTCTAAAGTAGGCAAGACAATTGTGCACCCTGCAATTGATGCTGCCCCACCCACGACGGATCCGGCTCCTTTGCTGTTCATCAAAACGGTACTGTATGGCGTGGTTTTTTTAAAAATCAATCACACCCAAACTGCTAGCCCAAAAAAACCAATAACTTTTGGCCGACCCAAACCGTTGAAAGTATCAGTCATGCTCAGTTAACTTTTGGTATCAATCGGTGTTGTAGCAAAATTTATATTTTTTTAAAATTAAAAATAATAAATAAAAAAAAGTATGACTGGTCTTAAAAAATTATGATCGATCATAAAAATAAATTTAAAACTAATTAGGGATATTCATGATTATAATATTTTATGATCAATCATCGATTTATTTCAGGTAATTATAATTTTAAAAATAAAAGATATAACATAGATTTAAAAAATAATAATTTTTGATATGATATTAAAAAAAAATGCTATAGAATTACCCCTTTGATTACAATTTAGACCGTTAACTCTGACTTGATCTTTTTTTTTTTTGTTGGTATCAAATATTTGGCAAATCGGATGTGTGCAAAATAAATTAATAAAAATTTAATTTAGAACAATCGATAAATGAGATTTACATTCTCGACCATTTTTATCATTTGCAAATATACTAATCAAATATAAATAATCACCAATTCATATATTTATGAAAAGTGTGAATAGATAATTAAAAGCTATAAAATTTATCTTATCTTTATTTTTATGATCGATCATAATTTTGTAAGACCAATCATACTTTATTTATTTATTATTTTTACTTTAATTTAAATTTAAAAAATTATAAATTTTGGAACAACACCAATTGATACCAAAAGTTATGGGTTTTTTTTGGGCTAGCAGTTTGGGTCTGATTGGTTTTTTAAAAAATTTTGATGAACAGCAAGGGCTGCTGTTCCTCACGAACAGCGGAGGAGCCGGATCCCACCCACAACTTGGGTTAATAGTCAAACAGGTTCGAATTAAATTTAAAAAGTTTGTTTTTTTAATTGAGCCTAAAAAATTATTTAAATTTAGTTCATTTTTTAAACAAAATGAGTCAGAACGAGCCCAAAACAAGCCGAACTCGAATATTTACACAAACGAGTTGAATTCGAACCAAGTCTGTCGGACTTATTTCTCAAACAAAGTTAAAAAATTGTTCAAAAAATTAGTCAAACTTAAACGAATAAAAAACGAGTCAAACCCAAACCAAACTAAAATAGTTCAATTTGATTAATAATCCTACCCAAAAACTAAATTCCAACAGAGCATTTAGATCCATCCAATACAATTCTCTCGTATCATGAATTTATGAAAGATAGATCGAAGTTGAATTCATTGGCATTAATACTACCGAATGAAACTGAATAAAAATGTAATGAGGAGAATATCAATTTGTAATTAATAATGCTCTATTTTGAATATTTTTTGAGTGCGTTTGGTAACGTTTTTGTTTTTATGTTTTTTTTATAAAAAAATAGAACTAAATTTTGTTTTTTTATGACAAAAATAAAAAAATATAAAACATATTTGATAACCATTTATATTTAAAAAATTGTGAAAACAAAAAAAAAAATTTTGTTTGATATTATACCAAAAATTCACCACCCAATCTCATTGACTACCCAAAACCACCACTCAACCCCACCACCAAAACCCACCCCCCAACCCAACCACCGAAACCCATAATCCACCACCACCACTACTGAAACCCACCCCCACCCTCACCACCACCGAAACTCCGCCATTGAAACCCATCATCACAACCATCGAAATTTACTGTCATAACCATCGAAACCAACCCAAATCCAACCACTGTAACCCAACCCCACCACCACCACCGAAACCACAATTACCAAAATCCACCCCCAATCCAACACCCACCATCAAAACCCATAACCCACCCTCATCACCACAACCACCGAAACCCACTACCCATCCCAGAAAACTCCCCGGTAAAACCCACCACCCAACCCAGAAATCCATTTACCAAATGTATTTTTGATTTTTTAGCCGTAACAGGAAAAAAAAAAAAAAAGGTGGTTACCAAACGCCATTTTTGAGTTCAGTTACCATCTTTGGGGGGGGGGGGGGGGGGGTTCACCGACCATTTTTTAGCATTTTTTTTTAATTTTTCATTCATAGTTCACCACCATGTTTCCAATTAACCTGTGTAAGGGTAAACAACAAGCCCT